ATACTGATCACAAATTGTAAAGTGACAGCTCTAATTTTGACCTACCATCAGGGGTCAGGGTTTCTATTATCCTCTCTTTGGGGCCTAATGAGATAGAAAGAAAGAGCCTCCTGGGGACAAGAGATAATAGCTTCCATCTCTTTCATCCATGTCCTGTTCTCCTCTGTTATCAATATAAGGAGTGTGCCTGTCTGTTCTCAAACTGTAGGGGTTAGGGGAAAATTAACAGGTATAGAACAGTGCCTGATGTCTGGAAGGACAAACAGCCCACTGATCTTTATTTTATATAGGGAAATATCCTTAAACTATGAGGAAGAGATTTAAAAAAAGATACCATCTCACAGGCAGATCTCTGTGAGTTCAGGGCTATCCTTGTCTAGGTAGCCACTTCCAGGACAGACAGATATATAGAGAGACTGTGTCTCAACAAAACAACAAAAGAAAACAAAGTGAAATGAAATAAAAAAATGCCATCCTAGCCGGGCGGTGGTGGTTCACGCCTTTAATCCCAGCACTTGGGAGGCAGAGGCAGGCGGATTTCTGAGTTCGAGGCCAGCCTGGTCTACAAGAGTGAGTTCCAGGACAGCCAGGACTATACAGAGAAACCCTGTCTCGGAAAAACAACAAAACAAAACAAAAACAACAACAACAAAACCAGTGAACTGGAAATGAAAACCCAGTGAGCCAGGGATAAAAAGCTCCGTGGAGAGAGAGCCTTACTACTTGGAGGATCAGAGAGACCACAGAATATCTAGGCCTGAAGATGAGATGGAAGAGTTGGAACCTTTTAACAAGAACAGATATAAGGAGGTGCATCACAGTGAACGTTTGCAAGTAAAGACGTGTGGACAGAGGGATACACTGTGGTACACACTGTGACACACTACAGCTTCTATGATGAGATGTGTTATGCTTTGTTGTGTTTGTGTGTGTGTCAATGTGTGTGTGTGTGTGAGAGAGGAAGTGTGTGTTTTATTCTGGGGTAGAGGTTGGAAGGGTGAAGGGCAGATATGATGGGACAGGGAGGTGAGCGGAATTGGGGTGCATGATGTGAAACTCACAAAGAATCCCAAAAAAGTAAAAAAACAGAAGGCGGTAGAAGAAATGACAAGAACTTTGAGCTACTGTGAAAAGAATCAGATCTAAAAATGAAAATAGTAATAATGCCATGCACGTTGTCATCATGACTAGAATTTCCTAAAGGCCAAGGGAGCAAATTACCACCAATTCCAGGAATTCTTTAAAAGGGTTGATGCTAATGGGTGATGGTAATTTACCTTTTGGAAGTAACAATTACATGGTTTTCTTTCTTTCTTTCTTTCTTTCTTTTTTTTTTTTTCGAGACAGGGTTTCTCTGTATAGCCTTTCAACATTTTATCAAACCATTTATACTATCAACACCATTTTTTTTTTTTTTTTTGGCCAGAATTCGACAGTGAAGAGTGCAATACTGATTGTATAACTACATAAAGATCTTTTGTTTTTGTTTCGTTTCCATTACTAAGAAGTGATTTTAAACCATGCTTGGAAGCTCATGCCTTTAATCTTAGCACTGAGGAGGCAAAGGCAAACTGATCTTTGCTCTACATAGGGAGTAAGTACTAGGCCAGTCAGGGTTCCAGAGCGAGGCCCTGTCTCAATAAGTAAACGACAAAGGACAAACAGAGAGTGATGTTTAGAACAGAGGTGGTTTGATATCTGAAAAGAGGGAATCATGAGTCCGTCCAGATTCAGTTGACAAAATGCTCGACAATAACTCGCCTTCGTTACATTTTTCTCAGGAATCTTTTTTTGTTGTTTTCTTTTCTCTCTCTCTTTTTTTTTTTTTTGGTTTTTTTTTTTTTTTTTGAGACAGGGTTTCTCTGTGTAGCCCTGGCTGTCCTGGAACTCACTCTGTAGACCAGGCTGGCCTCGAACTCAGAAATCCGCCTGCCTCTGCCTCCCAAGCCTTCACTACTTTTTTAAATGGTGGCGACAACATGCCTAACTGAAATAGCGTAAGGAAGGAATGATTTATTGTGGCTCAGAGTTTGAGGGTGCAATCTGTCTCTCACATTGGGGACAGCATGGCAGCCCTGATCACACTGTATCTAGTCAAGAGCTAAAAGGCAGTTCATGTTGGCTTGCATTCTCTTTTCTGGTCAGTTCAAGACAGCCCATACATTGATGCCAACACAAAAGGGGGACTTCCCACTTTAGTGAATACAAGTTAGAGATTCCCTCACAGACACCCAGGTTTTTCTCCTAGGTCCTGTCATATTGATACTGGCTTTCGTACAACTCATTTCATGATGCCTAGGCTTGAAGGGTTTTTTCCTAAATGTGAATTCCATGAGTTGGCAAAAAGGAAGTGATCATTTGAATAGTTCTGGATTCGATCCTAGATCCCCCATGTGACCTTGAACAACTTGACTAATGCTAATTACAGGAATTTTGACATTTCAGGGAAATTAATAGCTAGATGTCCTGGGATCTTTCCAAAAAAGAAAAAAAAAAAACAAAATCAAAACCCTGAAGATTCCAAAAGCTTTGTTTAGCTTTAAGATAGGGTCTCACTAGGAAGCCAGGCTGCAGGAGAGTTCAAAATCCTCCTGTCTTTATCTGCAGAGTTCTGGTTTAACTGGTGTGTGACAGCACTCTCCATTCTCCCCCCAGAGAACTTTGTGTGCATTATTCCATATGGCTGTCATTTTGCCAGGAAACACTGTAGGTCTTAATGTCATAAAGCATTCTTCTCTTCTGAGACTGTTTTCAGTGTGGCTTCTGCAATCTTACCCCATGTCTTCTCCCACATGGAAGCACTCACACTGCAAGGTAGAACTGATTGTTTGAACACCCATCTCCCTGGAAATGAATTCCTAAAGCCATAGCATTACACCCTATGCCTTTAACTGGAGAGACTATATAAGTTTAGGCTCTGATGATCAGCTGCCTGCATCGGAAGTCTGGCTTTACCTCCAATGGGCTGTGTCTTGAGACAGGTCTTTGATCAGTGTTAACTTACCATTTGTGCATCTACTTTATAGACATAGTAAGAATGCACCATTTTTTCAATCCCAAACAAGCAAAACACTCACATCTGAAGTACCCAAACAAGAGACCACACTGAAGCATATCTATCGAGTTAGAGAAATAGCCTAATTTTACTAAGGTTAGAGAGTACTAAAGTAAAAAAAAAAAAAAAAAAAAATCAAGCCTGTGAGATAGTTCAGTGTATGAAGGTGCTTAGCTCCAAGTTTGATGACCTCAATTAGACCCCTGGGACAACACGGCAGGAGAGAGCTGATGCCTTCAAGTTGTTTTCCAACTGAACACCTACTTAGTGGGCACTTGCAAGCATCCATTCAAGGATATACACATACATGTGAATATATGTTTTTTTTTAAATGACATCATTTAAAATGAAGTGTCGATTGTTATGTTTGAGGGCAACCAATAAGACTACAGACGTTTTGAAGTTTCAAGGAAATTAATATTTAGATGTCCCACGATCTTTCCTTTAAAAAAAAAAATACCTGAAGATTCCAAAGTTTTTGTTTAGCTTTAAGATAGGGTCTCATTAGGAAGCCAGGCTTCAGGAGAGTTAAAAATCCTCCTGTCTTTATCTCCAGAGTTCTGATACCACACTGCACTCTCCCCCAGAGAACTTTGTGCGCATTCTAGATACTGATAGTTATCTTGTTGGAAATTAACAGTGATTCTGTTTTTTTTTTTTTTTTTTCCCTACAGGGCCTTAAGTATTCCATGCTGGCCTGGAACTCTCTATGACCCTAAATTACTTATCCCTGTGCCTCCAGCTCTGCGGGGCTGCAACTCCAGAAGAATGATGCCACGTGTGGGTTATATGATCCTGTGGTTTGAACCTGGGGCCTTCATGCGTATTAGGCAGTTTTAGCAAATGAGCTACACCCAAAGGCCTCCAAGAGTAGTTATTCTTTCACTAAAATAATAACAGCATATAGCCTCTTGTATGCACATATTACTTTTTTTTTACCAAGTTCCTCTATGCCTGATTTCACAACAGATAACCAGATTCTCTCCTGTCTGTCTGTTTGTATTTCCAATGTTGCCCTATCCTACAATGTATAGTGTCTGGAAGTCTCCAATGTAGGCTTGTGGGAGAATGGGAATGTAAAATGTAGACAGTGCCTTAGTATTATAGACAGATGAACCTTCCACCGTAAAGACCACACTTGGAACACAGCTGTTTTATTTGTAGATCTCGGCACTGTGGCACAAACCCACACTGTGAAAGATTTAAAATTTGATACCTGCATGGGTTTCACAGCGTGGCCCTGCCTAAAACACAAAAAACCCAAAGCACCAAACATCAAGAGTTAACAGGTGATTCGTAGTCGATTAAGCTTGACTTAAAAAGTCGATTGACTTTTTCAAGAAGATGGAAAAATTGAGACGCTGATTATTTTCATTATAAAGCAGTAAGAATACGCGAAATACGCTCTTTGCTTCCATCAAATGGACTAAAGCAGAAATGAAGGGTTGCCTGTCAGGTAAACATGATGTGGAACACCCTAAAAGGTTTAGAGACACCCTGAGTTAGGCCGCTGCGGTGGTCACAAGGGAAGAGAGCTGTAGTTCTTACCCAGGGAAATGGTTTCAGAGGAGAGGAGGGGCAAAGAAGCGCATGGATTAGGCCTGGATGAGGATGGGAATCCCAGCCACGATACTGCAAAGCCTGCCACTAGGCTGCTGTCCCTAACCCAGGCGAGGAGAACCAGGGGCAGGACGTATGGGTCCTCGCAGGGGACTGGGATTTCCATCCGAGCGCAGAGGGGAGAAGAGATGGAGAGCTGGAGACCGCCTCTGGCGGGAAGCCTAAGGTGCCGGCGAAGAAGGACAGCTCTGTTACCAGGCAACAAGGCCCGGGCCCGCCTCCCGCTCCCGTTGCTAGGCAACGCCGAGGCCAGGGGGAGGGCGGCGGAGCAGCCCTACGTGCTGACGCTAATTGTATATGAGCGCGAGCGGCGGGCTCTCGGGTCTTTTTTAGCGCCATCTGCTCGCGGCGCCGCCTCCCGCTCCTCCCGCCGCCGTCGCCGCCGCCCTGAGTCACTGCCTGCGCAGCTCCGGCCGCCCGGCTCCGCGTCCGAGCCTCCTGGAACGGTAACGGCAGGGGCCGGGAGGGTCGGGAGGGCCGGGGAGCGGGGCTTGCGAGGTGTTGGGCTGAGGCCGCGGGTAAGCGCTCCCGAGGGGCCGTGCGGCCTGAGGGACCCCGGGGAGCGGCTGCGGGGCGCGCGGGACGGCGAGGCCGCGGGAGAGCGGAGGAGGAGGCCACGCCGCGGGCCGCCCTGTTCGCCCGGCCGCCTCTGGCTCGGTGTCCCCCACCACTACGAGGGGAGCCCCGCGAGGCAGGGATGGGCGACATGGAAGGAACGGTGGCCGCGAGTTCCGCCCGCAGGGAGGGGCTGCGCAGGCCGCGGCCTCCGCGCGGAGGAGCCCGGGCACGTGGGGACCGCGCCGCGGCCGGCCGGAGACCCTTGCCGCGGGCCCACCCGACCCCAGGCGGAGATGAAGGAGGAGGGGTCGCCACGAGGACCAGTCCCGCGACCATCTTCCAGGCTTCCCCACGGTCTTCCTGGAGGAAAATGTGCTAGCGGATGGGAGGATGGAGGGGCGAGCAGCCTCTACCGCCAGGGTTTTAAGGGGTTAACACGTGCAAAGCGTTCAGCTTAACTATTTTTTTTTTTTTAAACAAAAGATTTATTTTGTGTCTCACAGGTACAGTTAGAACTTCGATGGGTACCGTGGCCGGGGTATATTTGTGTGAAGAGACTTGATCGTAGTCTCCATAAACCCTCCAGATGGTTCTGAGACGAAAGAAGGGCTAGCTTGTTCCGGGAGGCTTTGAGTTTAATAGACCGACAGCGTAGTTCTTCCCTTCAGGAAGCCTCCAGAATTCTCACTAGGGATGAAGTGGAAGGACCCATGAGGTGGAACAAGGCATTAATATATATACTGACGGCGCTCAGTGCGCCACATTTCTGTAAAGATCTCAGGAGTGGCATTGGAGGGAGGGCGGAGACAGGTCCTGTTGGGAGGGCAGGGCTTCTCAGACTCAAAGGATGCACCAGGCACATGGGCTGTCTTCCAGGACTACCTACTTCAGACTGTCTCCTCCTATCTCTAAATTCCAAAATGAAAAAACGTTTTAAAGACTCCAATACTTAACCTGGCAGGGGAGATAACCATGATCACGAAGATGATTTTCCCAACTTGGGGTATGCTGACCCCTGCGGTTTCCCCAAATGTGGGAAACTGCATACTTTGTGGTAGTGGGGGAGCTGCGGTCGAGCCCTCACCTGGGGAAAAAAAAAAAGACTTCCCAACACCTCTAATTTCAGGAGATTCAGCATAAAGTTTGCTATTTTTGAAAATAGATGCCATCAAAATATCTTTGCAAACTTGATATCCAAAGAATACTTTGGATAAAGGGAGTACCTAAAATTTATTTTAAAACCATAAGTAAGTGGGGGAAAGGGGTTTGGTAGTCTTGTGAATTCTTAACTCTTGTTTACGGTTGAAGTATACATCCCAGATTTAAACTGTACAACTACTTTAATTCTAAGTCTGGATTGGAGGGATTTAATTTAGCATTAGTAAAAGCTTAGACATCTGTCGTAAAATCTTGACTTAATAGATGTTCTTTTCCAGTCAGCATTTAGATTATTAAAAAGAAGTTAAAGACGCCTAACGTATCAACAAGAAAAGTTCTGTCAGGTTTACCTGTCCTTTTTTTTTTTTAAAAGATATATTTTATGTATATGAGTACACTGTGGCTATCTTCAGACACACCAGAAGAGGGTGTTGGATTCCATTACAGATGGCTGTGAGCCACCATGTGGTTGCTGGGATTTGAACTCAGGACCTCCTGAAGAGCAGTCAGTGTTCTTAACCACTGAGCCATCTCTCCAGCCCCCAAAACTTTTTTTTTTGTTGTTGGTTTGGTTTTTCCAGACAGGGTTTCTCTGTGTAGCCCGGGCTGTCCTGGAACTCACTCTGTAGACCAGGCTAGCCTCGAACTCTCGAACTCAGAAATCTGCCTGCCTCTGCCTCCCAAGTGCTGGGATTAAAGGCGTGCGCCACCACCGCCTGGCTGTCCTTTTGTTTTTAATCTTTGGCCCTATAATTGACAATAATTTAATACTGAGTGGCACCTGAGTAGTCCTTTCATGAGATTAAAAATAACACTCTTGGCAGTGCCAATGTGTCTAAAATTCTATAGTTTATTTCCTTATTTGCTTGCTTGTATTGGCTTCAGGTGACCTAAGCCAATCAGGGAAAGGAAAGGGGCTAAAAAAGAATCTGACAGTGTCAAGATACATTACTTATGTTCAGTTTTAAGTTCTCAAAGAATTAAAGAATCCTATTTTATAGATATATGGGTGATCATTTTTACTCACATTCTAAAACTCAATCTATTCTGACCTATATCTCACACCATGAGCAAATAAGCGACTGATGTGTCTGGCTGTGTTGGGCTGTGAGGATTGGGAAGGAAGTTGGAAGAGCTTGAGATAATTATGATTTGCTTTACAGAAAAACGCCTGTTAGAATTGGTTACACTTCATTCAGCCTAGTTTCATCTTGTTCTTGTGCATGCTAGAGGGAAGGTCCAAGTGGCTGTCTTTCTTACACCTGCTTTTAGACTGCTGGACCCTGTTACTGGGTTGACAGGAACTGTTACACCCTGGGTTAGCAACTCTCATTGGTAAAAATGTACAGTTTGGACTTTTTTTACGTCAGAAGTTTCACACTTTGTTTTTAAAGTGGAAAAGGAGCTGTAATTTTCTTAAACTAAATAAAATCCCACAGGAGCTGGAGAGCTGGCTTTTAAAAGTTAGAGCACTCCCTGACTGCTCCTCCGGAGGACCTGGGTTCAATTCCCAACATCCACATGGCATCTCACAGCTAGCTCTGGTCCCAGGGTATCCAACAGCCAAATGGGTACAGACATAAATGTAAGCAAAACAAAGGTTACACGATAATCTTTTTAAAGGGTGGTGCTGCAGGGGAGCAAATTGTCCTGTCAACAGTGATTACTGAGGCTTTATTTATGACAGGTTCTCAGATGTAGCTCTGCTGTCCTGGCACTGTTGGCTGCCCTTGCATTCAGAGATTTTCCTGTCTCTGAAGTGCTGAGATTAAAGGCATGGGATTGTTTAAATTCCACATTTTTGTTTGTTTGTGTTTTGAGACAAGGGTTTCTCTGTGTAGCCCTGGCTGTCCTGGAACTCACTCTTGTAGACCAGGCTGGCCTCAAACTCAGAAATCCGCCTGCCTCTGCCTCCCAAGTGCTGGGACTAAAGGCGTGTGCCACCACCACCCTGCTTCACATTTATTTAATGCTGTCAGATAGCATTAACTTTTTTCTTTTGAAGCTGTCTCACTGTATATAGCTTGGGTAGTAGTACTAACATTTTAACTAGAAAACAGGTATAGCGTGGTAAAAAGCTTATTTAGGGTTATTTAGTTTTGCAGTGGAGAGTTACAGGGTTGGTTTTATTTACATTTTAAAGCTTCATTTTGTATGTATGTATGTATGTATGAGAGTGTTGCCTACATGTCTGTACCATGTGCAAGCTTGGTAACTATAAAGCTTAGAAGAGGTGTCAGATCCTGTGGGATTGGAGTTTCAGACAATTGTAAGCTGCCAAGTGAGTACCGAGAATTGGCTTCAGGTTGTGCAGGGAAAACAAGTGTTCTTGAACATTAAGCTGTCTCTTTTAACCCCTTTATATTGAGTTTTAAAGGATGGTGCCTGACTTGAAGTACTGGACATGAGTGTGAAATTTAAAAGCACTGTCCTGGGATTTGGTCTGAGAAACTCCAGTGTAGTTAGGTGGTTTTGTTCAGTATGGAATTTGCCTGCATATAATTAAATAGTGGCTGCTTTAAAGCCTTATCTTTGCATATATGAGCTATGCATGTCACATACTTGAATATGGATAAATTGTTACTAGTGAGTGAGGGGTTTGGCCAAATGCTACATCTTTGTAGGTGTACATTTGCTGTTGGGTTGGGTAATACTCAGGGTGCGGAGATCTCTTAGATCGAAGGTAGTATTCTCAAGTAGTCCGTTTTGCTTGGGAGTTTAATACATGGCCCAGTTGTGACTTGACTTGCTGTCACTAGAATGGAAAAGTGTTTAAAAAATGGTGCTGTTTAAACTGTTTAATTGGAGCCGTATTTGGTGCTGAGCCCTGAATTAATGACTGTTCCAAAAGAACAGCCACATCTGAAATTCTTGAGATGGAATGAAGTCTGGGAGAAAGCAAGGTCCAAGTCATTGAGTTTACTAGTTTCTTATTATAAAACGATTGCCTGTTTCATCATGCAGTCACTATTTTTCTAAAGAGGAAATACTTGTCTGCTGATTGGTATCTCAGGAAATTTTCCAGAAAATGATGTATCAGAAGGTAAGCAGTTGATAGTGGGTACTTGGCTATCTGGGTACTAGAAGACGGTAAACTAATCAGAATGTTTTGTGTAGTCAGATGTTTTGTGGCCTCCTTTCTACTTCTGTGGAAGATTTTACTTAATTCAGGATTAATTGATTTAAGGAAAATTAATTACAAACCAGCATCCTTTCCCATTGAGATGGTCTGTACACTCTTGGGTTCCACACCGAGCCTTTTCTATCGCCTAATGGTCTTGATTTTTCCCCCCTCATGGTAATATAGTGATAGTTTGGTTGTATTATGTTTTACCTGTAATGATGGTGGGATTATTATTTAGCTGGATAGAGTGACATATACCTGTAAGTTCAGCACTAGTGTATCTGAGGCAGGAGAATCACTTAAGCTCAGCAGTTTGAGTACATCCTGAGCAATATAGTGAGTGGTACCGCGTGTAAAGATAATTATTTAGACACACACCCAAGTCTGTCCAAGTGTTAGATTATTAACCTGGAATCACTTTCCTTCTAGTTAAAGCTATATGTAAGAGAATATCTCTAATTAAATTGCTTGGAGGTATTTTTTGCTTCCAATTAGCTGTTTTACCTTCATTTAATTTTCATTTTTAAAGGCTCTTTTGGTTGCAGATGGTCTAAGACCCTTTGTTAATACACTCATCAGGCATGTGTAGCACTGCCTGCAGCATGTGTACCCCTGCCTGCCTGCCTGCCTGCCTGCAGCAGTGCTTTGTCTTCACTGCCATCCCTCCATCCCTCAGTTGTTTATCTTCATTAGGAGAGTAGATTTACTGGGTTCCTTTAAACTGTGGATTGGTGTCTTTCATCGCTTCTAGAAATTTCTTAATGTTCTATCCTTTGTACCTGTAGAATTGGTGTCCAGTCTCAGATTTTGTTATATTCTAAATCTCTTGAGTACTTTCTCAGACCTGCCTTGCTTGCAGTATGACTTCCAGCTTCCTTTGAACTGAATTCATTCCTCAGCTGAACCTAATATATTGTTACAACTGAACCAACCTATTTCATTATTTTTATCCTGGAAGTTCTATTTAGTTATTCCCTAAATTTGATATCTTTAGAGATGGTTGCTTTGTTACAGAGGGTGTTTTCTTCCTTCCTCAACTCCCTTTACTCTTTTCCTCCCTGAGATCAAACTCAGACCTTTTGAATGCTGTGGGAAAAAGTCTTTGAATTAAATATTTAAGCTTTTGTAGTATAAGACTAGTTTTTTGTTTTTATGAATTTGAGGCTTAGGAAGAAGATATCTTTCACTTATTGTGGATGTGCAGGTGCCTGTGAGTACATTATCAGAGTCCACTAAGCTATAGCTTCAAAGTTTAGGGGACAAAATAGTAGATGAAATTGGGCTATTAGTCCAGAAATGGATTATTTTTTCTGAGGTATAGCATTTGGGGTTTCTGCTTAATTTGGGAGGGTTGCTGTAAAGAATTTATGGGGCTGGGAATTGAGCCCAAGGCATTGTAGGGAAACTGAGTTGCTTCCCCGAGTGTGCCCAGGATTTTGATAGCTCAGGGATATTAAAATTGAGTTTCTATTCTTGGCTAGGTGCCACACACATGTGTAATCTCATTTAAAGAGGAACTATAAAACATTCAAGGCCATCGGCTCTGAACTGAGTTCTAGGTCAGTCCAAGTCCATGTTGTGTGAGGGAGGTGCTGTCCCATAGCACAGGGAAGGATTGAACTCCTTTTAGGTTTAGTCACAGGGACCACAGGTTCTATGACCTCCATGCTTGTGCCATGTCAACTCCCCCAAATAAGTGAGGTTTTCCTATTTTTTTTTTTTTCATTTGATAATGGCAGCTGGCCTTTGGGCAGAAGTAGCTTTGGACTAAGGGTTTCTTAACTGATTTGCTAGGGCTTCTGTGCTTTCAGAATTTCCTTTTTTGGTTTTTCGAGACAGCGTTTCTCTGTGTAGCCTTGGCTGTCCTGGAACTCACTCTGTAGACCAGGCTGGCCTCGAACTCAGAAATCCGCCTGCCTCTGCCTCCCAAGTGCTGGGATTAAAGGCGTGCGCCACCACCACCCGGCTTTTCAGAATTTTCAAATGAATTTTATTCTGTACTTTTGATTTTTCAAAAGTTGATCTGCTTAGTCTGCTGTCCCTAATCTGGGCGGAAGGTTTTTTTATATGAGATGAAAGAATACTGTTTATACATGTGTCTATGCAGTATCTCTTCCTAGGAACCTAGGCTTACTGATTCCTTTAAGATGAATGGCTAGTGGCTGGGAGAATCTGCTTATCTAAGCTCCTCCCCTAGTGGTAGGATTGATTGCAGTCCTGTCTGCATAGGGTAGGTATTCCTTGCTCAGTGATAGGGCCAGAGCTCAGATTTCTAGCACCTATGGATAGCTTTAATTCCAGAGACCCTCTTCTGGTTTTCTGCACACTCAAACACATACTGGTACTCACTATACGCCATACAGTGAGCTACATGTTTTTTAGTTCTTGGCAACACTGAGGGAGCAGAAATCATAACTGTGGCTTTTAGGCTTCAATTCTAAGTAAGGCATTTCCATGTTGTCAGTATTTTTCTGGTGATACTGCATAGTTGTTTTGGTGGCTGGGCTGAGTCTTCAACAGTACAGGGGAGCTGTGTTCCAAAGACTTGATAGTATACTCTAATGGAAGGCTGAAATCGCCCAGAGCAAGGTTGGTCTGCTGAGCTGAACCACGTGTATGATGGTCACATGACTGAGACTAACCACATGTTGAAGCTGTTGTAGTGTTGGGTCTCAGTTGTAGCTCTCTTCATCCAGACCCTGATTCAGTCTTCTTTAGAAGCTTCCAGATGCTAGGAGGAGCTTTAGAGGGTGGCTGAAAGTAGATTTTTAGACAAAGTCTTCTATTTATTTAGGTCAGGCTGGCTTCCATCTCTGAAAGCATTAGCTATTCCTAAGTACTGGGGTTGGTTTTCATAAAATAGCTCAAAGAACTAATAGTTATACAATGCTGAAGCTATTAAAGACTTCAAGAGTCATAGAAAAGACAGTAATTAAACAAAGTTTTGTTTTTTGAAATGAATTTGAGTTAAATTAATGGTGTGGGCTGGCAAAATGGCTTACTAGGTAAAGTTGTCTGCTACCAAGCCTGATGACCTCAAATTTATCCCCAGGACCCATATGGAAAGTGAAAACCAGTAAATTGTTCTCTGAACTCTCACATGGTGCACACATAATAAATAAACATCATTTTAAAATACAGAGTGTTAAAAAACAAAGTGGGTAGTACATACCTCTAGTCTCAGCTTGGGGAAGCAGGGACAGACAGATCTCTGGGTTGAGACCAGTTCGGACCATGTAGTGAATTTCAAATCAGACAGGGTTACAATAAAGAAAGCCTGTCTTTTAAAAAAAATATTCTAAGGAAATAAGTAAAAATTGACCTTTCACTATCATTAAAAGTATCTGAATAAAGTTCACTGATCTATGAATCTATTAAATGTGGTTTCTATTGTCTATGTGGAATTATAAAGCCTAGCTTCTGAAAATTGTTTTGTGCAATACTGTGTTCCATGTTTTTTTCTTAACACATGGTTTTTAAAGGGAATATAATGTTTTATTTAGTGTTTTATTGATTCATAAGGTTCACTTCAAGTGTTTTTCCTACCTTTAAGCAACTCACGCTTGTTTTTAACACTTTTTTTTTTCCCTTAGGTATTTGGAGTTCTTACAAGATGGCAGACGTTGACAAGTAAGTGGGGACCTTGGTCCTTTTTCAGATACTTTGTTGTGATGTAGTTAATAGGACAGATTGTAGATTATGGAAGTGGGTAGTGCTCACGTCCTTTGGTGCCTACTATACTATTGGAAGTTGAGTACAATATCTACTCTAAAATATATGATATAATCATTCAAGTAGAGTAAACCACCCCCTGGCAATGGGCAAAGAGACACCTTACTAATGGTGTTGTTCTTATATCAGTCAGGGGCAGAGCAGATGGCAGTCCTTTGTTCATCCTAGCTTGATGCCTGGCTTGGTGGCCAAAGCTGTTTCATGCCTAGGGCACAGTATCCACATCCCTCAACCCCTCTGCAAACAGCCAGGTATGTGGCACATGCCTTTAGTCCCAGTGCTTGAAAGGCAGAGACAGATTTCTGGGAGTTTGGAAGCCTGGTCTACACATAATGAGCTCCCGGACATCCAGAGCTACATAGTGAGACCCTATTTCCAAGAATACCAAAAGGGAAAAGTACAGTAAACCATTCGTTAGTATTTATTCTTAGAAAAGTGCTGAGCATGATAATAGGTTGTAAATACTTGGGAATTTTTAGCATGTATGTAATTCTCAAAACATTCTCTTACTAACACTGAGGTGGGTAAACATGTAGACTTGAAACAGCAACAGTATACAAGTTAAGGGTGGGAAGATGACCCTTCTCAGTTGTAATCTTGATTTTAATTCACTTCTTTCTTTGCTTTTCCTTAGAATGTTAATGGCTTGGAGGAGGGTGGGGCAGTACTGGGAATAGAACCTAGGGTTTCACAGATGCTAGGTAAGATCTCTGCCACCAAGCTGTCTCCAGCTGTGTTGGATTTTGAAGAACTGAGTAGGAAGCACTGACTTAGAGCAGTGTGTTGGCTTTTAGTGGCTTAAACTTGAGGTTCTAGGGTTTGTTCTGCTGATGGCTTGGGACATGGGTGTAAGCAAGTTCTCACTGTTTCAAGTGTGCATGACTGTCTTACAGGAATATGGTCACGGAGAGTGGGAAAGACAGTCTTACCATTAAAATACAACGCATTAAGATCATCAGTGGATTTTTAGATATCAAGAGTGTGCAGTTGGTAGAGGGGCAGAAACTACCTTAAAGGTCAACAAAGAGAAACTGTATGACAGTTGTGGCCTGTGACTATGCTTGCTCTTTGGAAGAGGGCAGGAAAGTCGGTTACTTTGACATAGCATGACTGAAAGCTGTTACTGCTTATGGTATGGTTAAGGTATAGAATACTAATGAACATTTTTATTGAGAATTTTGAAGGCACTGTTACCACTTTGCCTCCAGTGTGATACTGAAATTCAAAGCCATAGTTCTCTGATCACTTACATTCTATTTCTTTTGCTAAGTTTCAGTAATTGGCTTTAGTTTTTAAAATGTCTAGTTTTGTCTTTCTTTATCACTTGATAATAGCCTTGTAGTAGCAGGCCCTTTGATTTGGCTGGATTCAGTCAGTGGCTTTCAGTTGTACTCTGTCCACTGGCTGTGTCTTCTTCTTCTGCAGCCCTTGTCAGATGCTGTATGCTCCTCCAAGTTTCATCTTTGTCTCTTTGCTCTTCTGTCTGGACAAATGTAGAAACTTTCTTCTGTTTATGTTCTTAAATCTGCTGCTTTCTCTCTTGCTCTTTGCTTCTTGTTCTGGTTTCATTGATTGTCCTGTCTTTGAGTGTTTCTTTCCTATTTAGTCTTATTTACTCTTACGTTTTCTTTTCTCCTTTTGTTTCAGACTTAATCTGTAATAGGCTTTCCTAATGAGGTAGAATCATCTGCTCGTTTGTAGGATTGCTGGTGCGGGATGGGAGCGTTGAGAGACATTAACAGTAGGTGATGAGACAAACGGCTTGGTAGAGGGTATCGTCACTGTGGGACTCCAGGGCAGGCTCGAGTGCTTGCTGTAAGAACTCCCCAGTGTCAGTGGTTTTCCTTGGTGAGCAGTGTTGGGAAGTAGAGCTGCCGTCCAGTGTTGTGGGAATCTGCTTAGAAGAAGGCAGCTAGGGAGGCCTTCAGCATTCTCTCATATTGATATATATATATGAGGAAACTAGTCATAGTATTTCTGTTTCCAGAGTAGAAACTGCCCTGTTTCTGAGAGGACTTAAGGGTTGAACTACTTAGTATTTCACCCAGTCTTCCCCAGGTTACCCATCTTTGTTCTTTGTCCCTACTTACACAGAAGTGTCATCAGTCCCGTTAGCCTTCATGCCTATCCTTCACATTTCCTACTTAGAGTTCAGTTCTTTCAATAAAGTGATTGTTGTGTATGTTTTCTGGCTGCTTCTTTCTTTGACATTTAGCGTCTTAAATAACACTTGAATACTTTTCTTTTTGTTTTGTCTTTAAATTGATTTTAGAATTATTTTATGGATGAATGCTCTCTGCATGTACACCTGCATGCTAGAAGAGAGAGCGTCAACCCCATTATAAATGGTTGTGAACTACCACGTGGTTGCTGGGAATTGAACTCGGGACCTCTGGAAGAGCTGAGCCATCTCTCTAGCTCCCTGATTTTGGAAGTATTAAATTAGATACTGTTATGTCATCTTAGCTTAGTAGCCATCATTTTGTAAAGAAAAACTGCAGATTGATTATAACAGCTTGATTACTCTCCTTTGCTATTTAATATGGCAGTTAGGCCTGGGAAGGCGAGGAAAAGTGACTCTTCAAAGAACCAGGAAGCTGAGTGAGTGTTTTAGGCAGTTTGAGCCTTAAAACTACTCAAGTAGTTACTTCAGCTGTTTTGTTACTGTGTCTTATATTCTAATACTAAATTAGTAGTATTTATGGAAACAGAAGTAGGCTAGATTTGACCATATGATAATAGCTTGTGAAATGTTTTAAAGACCTAAGGTAGAGATGGTCAGTAACTAAGGTAACTAAGGTAGAGAAGGTCAGATACTAAAGGAGCAGCAGATACACGCAGCACTGGCTCTGTGTGCACGCACAGAAGATCACGAGGAGTCAAACCCCGAGTTTCTAGGAACATAGATTTTTATTAGCCTCGTATGTTTAGACACAAAAAGCAATTACTGTCTTTAATCCAGATGTTAAATGAGGCCCATGTCTATCTATAGTCCTAGTAAGTACTCTGGAGGATAGTTGGCCTTGTAGGATGCTCTGTTATGCGTGGCAAAACTTGTCAAACAAACAACCCAAAGGCAAATTGTTCTCACCCCCTCTAGTGCTAGATGGAATCTAGTGCTAGATCTAGTGCTAGATCTCACCCCCTCTAGTGCTAGATGGAATCTCATGTCGACAAAGTAGGTTTTTCCTGATTCCCCAAGACGATGTTACCTTTCGCCTAATGGAACCATCCTGGTTAAACTTTAAGCAAGGTGTTGTTTGGCCAAAGACCTTAACATTTCTTCTACATCTTTAAAGTTAAAAAAAACCCAAAAAACAGAAAACATGTCTAAAGATAGTAAGTCCTTTAAGTGGTCATAACCATCAACGATAACAGGTGTCTTGGTTTTTGTTTGTTGGTGTTTTGAGACATGGTTTCTTTGTGTAGCCCTGCTTGTCCTGCTCTGTAAACTAGGCTGTTCTCAAACTCATAGATCCGCCTCCCTCTGCCTCCTGACCACCAGCCAGGATCCTCTGTTTTCAAACTAACATCCTCACTCTTAGAGTTACTGAGCATCTGGGCTCTCTCGTGGTCTAATGTGGCAGCTGAAGCTGTAGTACCGTTTTTCCCGGAGCCTTAGAGTTTTAAAGGATTGTGTTGTAGATGATCTCAACCCTCACAGCCAGGGCAGCATGCATGGTAAAGCCAACAGGACAGAAACTCAGTAACTCACTGCCGAACATCCGGCCTGGTGGTGTAGGCTGTAAACCCAGCAGGAGACTCAAGAAGCCCATCTTCAGCTCCATAGGCTGGACTACATGAAACAAATGTACAAAACCAGCAGCAAGTAAAATGCCATTGTCAACCTCTAGTCCTAGGTATAAACGTCCTAGGTATTGCTGCCCTAGTGAACTGAAGGTTCTTTATTACAGTGACCCAAGAATACAGCCTTTGGATAGGGGTGAAAAGGTCACAAACTTAACAAATAGCAGCTTTAAAGCTTGAAGTATAAACTGTTGTTGGCTAGATGGTTTTAAGTAGAGGTGTTAAAAGCACTTCAGTTAATACAGAGCTAGAAGACTGAATCGCTGAATTTCTGTCTTGAAAGAAGCATATTTATTTAGATAGTCAATACAAGTTTCTCTAATCTTGATTTGTAATTCATACATTTAAACTATGGTGTGATGCTATGATATTGTAGCAAAGAACAGTCTGAACTTGATCAAGATTTGGAAGATGTTGAAGAAGTAGAAGAAGAAGAAACGGGTGAAGAAACAAAAATCAAAGGTATTCTTTTAAATTACTTGAGGAGCCAGTGATTGCTGGCATTTGTGTTCTAGACTAGATTAGTGAGAAATGTTCCCCCTTTCCTGGACTTGACCCTTTCTCCTCCATCTCCTGATCTATTCCTTGAGTTGAGTAGCTTTGTATAGGACACAGGAAGCCGTAAACAAGATGGGAGTGTGGTCGCGTGTTTCCCCCCCCACACACACACACTGCTGGAGTTAAGAGCATCTAGCTGGGTCAGGACCGAGTTAATGTGAGGAAGACTGGAAGGGTTGGAAGTAGGCTTTATTTGACAATGCTTCTAAGCTGTGTTTACTATTGTATAGAAAACATGTGTGTCTTTCCTTAAAAGTGTACCCTATTAGACACCAAAAGGGCACTCGATAGTGCAATGCATGCTATAATTTGTACCAGGAGTAGTACTTGACGGAACAGATGTGGTTCATGAATACCAAGGTAACCAGGGGACTCACTTTCAGTTTTAGCCAGATGAATTTTAATTGTGAAAACAAGAGTTTCTAATTGATGTTGCCAAATGCTTATTATAACTGTATCATTTAGTTACTAAACTTAAAAGCTAATTGGTCTCCAAGAATATAACTGAAAAAATTTATATTTAAATTAAATATAATCATTGAAAGTCACTTTTGGCCTTAGTTACAACCCATGACCAATTTTTGGTAAGTTAATATGAACAAAAGGGAGAATTTTCAAATTTTGTTATAATGTCAAAATTATATGTGTACATAATATAAAGGCACATTTTATTAAGTATCAAACAATCCATATAACCCCTTTTTCTCTGGCCTAAAATTGTTGGTGTTTTTGGTGTTGACTGCCTTCAGATTACTGTCAAGAGTCTGAGACACCTGGATGAAACTGGGCTTCCCTAGGGTGAAATGAGATTCCTAAGGTGGATGAAATTCAAGATATTAGAAACAGAAAAGACTGTCCACTGAGCTTGTGAGAAAGGCCTAGAGAGATGCTGTGCATTAGAGATCTTAGAAACCCAAGCTCTCTACCTTTCTCCTCATCAGACTGGCATTTATGGGTCTGTTAGGAAGACTTCATGAGTGGCTTGCCAGTGGAAAAGAAACAATTTCATGAACCCCTCTTTCAATGCCCCTTTCTTTTTAAAAGCACGTCAGCTAACTGTTCAGATGATGCAGAATCCTCAGATTCTTGCAGCTCTTCAGGAAAGACTTGATGGTCTGGTAGACACACCAACAGGATACATTGAAAGGTACAAGATCCTTTGTTTTTTTTTTTTTTCCTACCTTCCTTATTTATTTTTTTCTATATAAAGCCATCTAAGTTTATCTGTGTGATCCTGGAAAGCTAATGTCTGTTAGTGTCTAGTATAAGATTTGGGGGGAAATAAAGCGGAAACGTCTGATTAGATTGGGGCTTGACTTGCTTGGTTCAGGTCTGTGGGAAGCGTGTTGATCTTAGCTTAGCCATTTCTATGATTTGTTTAGATGTTTGTTAGAAATGTACAGAATTAGAAATACAAATTAATCTTGAAAATACAGATTACTTCTTGTAATTTAAAGCTCAAAATTCCTCAGCTTTCTAGTTTTAAGGTCCATGTGTACTATCTTTCCATGCTTACTGGAAATGTTTCTTGGTTCTGTGTCTACTGTTCTTTTACTTCCTTTTCCTTTGATAGGACTGTCTTGACACAGATTGTACTGGATGATGGATGCATATCATCTTTATATATTCATAAGGAACTGTAATGGTTTCCTTGAGCTGTTACTTTGGTAGAGTTGCTACTTAGAGGCCAACAGTCTTTACCTGTACCAGTCTTGTGGCAAGATTTCTAGAAATGCGAAGGTGGCTTGATTTCCATGTCTACTAGAAGTTGGCATCCAGCTTTTGTAGATTATTTGCTTCTTGTAAACCAGTCTAGAAGGTATGACTTGTTTTACTTGTATTTCCCAGAAGCTGCTTTTCAGAAAATGTGTGAGCCTGGTGGTCCATTTGTACCTTTAGTCCATTTTCTTACTGACATTACTTTCATTTTGTTAGAATATTTTATGGCAGTCTTTGCATACTCATTTTCATCTTAGCATTGTAAAAATATTTTATCTATGAAGTCTTTCAGTAAACAGGAATACTTAAGTTTTATATTAGCAAGATGGCTGGCCTGTCTGACATAGTATGTTTGTAGATTCAAATTGCTTAGGAAGTCTTAGATCCGACATTCTTGTTGGTTAGTTTTAACTTTTAAATTTAGGTCTTTGATTCCTTCAAAGTCCAACTTTGTACTTGGTACAGGTAAACATCAGTTCCTTCCTGTTTTTTACTAAGTTCTTAAAAAACTCTATTAACTGAACTGTTCCCTTTTTCTATTACACATCTAGACACTGCGGCTTCCTAGTGTGTGTTGATATCCTCTGAGGGTGAGTTGTATCCACCCTCAGCTCTAGGCAGTTCTCACGGCCATCAAGATGGGGTTCTTTTTTTCTTGTCATATTTGACTTTTCAGCAGATCTGGCAGACAAGATGTTTCCATTCACTCTGTCCTATCCTCGACCTTTATGTTTGACAGGGTTCTCAAGTTCTTTAATTCCTGAGGTTAGATATTACGTTCAGGTTCATGGATTGGGAGAGCAGTGTATCTTCTTTCCATGGCCTCGTCTCTGTACTTGGGCTTACAGCACATGCTGTCTCGGGGTTGTGGTTTCTTCGTAGAATATTGGTTCCATTCATTTCAGTATATTTTGCATGTGATATTCCTGTTGTGAATACTGTTCTTTTATATTGTATTCCTGCTATACAGAGGATTGCTGTGTTTTTCTTTAAAAGGAATTTATTAGAGTATCCAGTAGCATTGTTAAAATCATTGGGTGATTTATAGTCCTGGCTGGCCTGGAACTTGCTTTGTGGACCAAGCTGAATTACAATTCTCAGAAATGTTGCCTGCCTTTGCCTCCCAAGTACTGGGAATAAAGGAGTGTACTATCATCATGCCTGACTAACATTTTATTTTAAAATCTAATTTGGTTTGTCCAAGTTTTCTTTAGTGTTAGTTTTGGTTTGCTATATTCTAAGCATGTATGTAGGTTAGGTTTAAAATTGGCAGTTGTCTTGATCTTACTTCATTCCCCCCATCCCACCCCCCAGAAAGGGTTTCTCTGTAGCCCTTGCCATCCTGTACCTCAACTCTGTAGACCAGGCTGGCTTCGAAACAGATCTGCCTGCCTCTCCTCCCAAGTGCTGAGATTAAGCTGTGCTCAATGACCAGGCTCTTAACTTGGACTTCTTTTGCATTTCCTGCTGCTCGCTCCTATTTCTGGCCGATTGTGTACTTAGCTTGGTCTCGGTTTAATCTGTCCTCCATGGCCTCTGAATTCTTATTTTTATGTCTGTGCGTGTGTACTTGCCCAGGGAGACTACTAGGAAAGAACTGCAGATCCTAGAAGTTACAGGTGGTAGTGAGCAGCCTGCCGTGGGTGCTGGGAAATGCAAGAGCAGCAAACTCTCTGAGTCACTGAGCTGTTGCCTCAGCACCTCTTGGTTTTGTAACGTTTGTAAATACTGACTAGGAGTGGGTAGCTTAGGTAAACTATTTGGTACTCTTCTGATGCAAGCCTGGTCCCCGATTTTAAACTCCTGGAACCCATACAAAAGTGGACAGAGAACCTTCTCAGTGGAGTCATTTGGCCTATGTACAGCTCCCCCAACTGGGCAATACTAATAAAAAACTAAGTGCAGAGCAGAGACCGCATTCTGATGGTAATAATTCCATTGTGATCGTGCTGTGTAAGCTATCTGTATTTCCGTGTAATAACTGTTCGTTTGGTCTGGAAGTTTCTAGGAAGGATATGTTAAAAATACGGGCTCCAGTTCTCACTGTAGACTGGTTAAAATTTAAATTTATGGTGTATATGTGTACTCATACCTGTATATTTTGTAGATTCTTTGGGTATATTTTATTCTAACATTAAGATTTGTATTCAAACTTTCACAATTTGAATATGTTTTTATTTAGTATTATAAGTTCAAGCACTAAGTTACTTTCAGATTTTCTTTTTTATGTATAAGAGAACTCTCTGTGAACATAGGGGCACATAAGAGAGCTTTGGATTCCCTGAGTCTGCAGTAGTTACAGGTGGTTTGCAGGCTCCATGTGGGTGCTGGCAGTTGTCTGAGGTCTTCTGCAAAAGCACTAGGTACTTGTAACTATTGAGCCAACTTACCAACACAAGTTACTTTCTTGATTAAGTTAAGTTCATTGGTGTGTTTTGAGAACGAATCCAGTTTGATCTGGCCGCAGGCTCACTATGTATGTAGCTTCTTGGCGCTCCCTCCTGTGTCTACAGATTCTGGGGAATCCAACTTAAGTTGTCAGACTTGTGTAAGAAATAGAAAAAAAAAAACTGATCTGAGAGAGAATGGATAACAGTTGAATTCATTAATTTTAACTACTTCAGTGGTTAAGTAAGACAATTATTTTATAAAATCTTGGAGCCAGGCAGTGGTGGCGCGCACCTTTAATCCCAGCATTTGGGGGGTGGATTTCTGAGTCCCAGGACAACCTGGTCTACAGAGTGAGTTCTAGGATAGCCAGGGCTACACAGAGAAGCCCTGGAAAAACTTGGAAAGAAAATTCAACCTGGATTATGGGTATTCCTTGTGTTTGGTTGTGTGTTTTTTTTTTTCTCACTGATTTATTCGACCTGCTTTTATAATGAAAGGATCTGTATGTCTGTTATGAATTTTAGTTACTTTTGATTCCTTGCTTCAACTCAGAAACTTGAATGTTTCGGTTTTAATGTATGGAAAGTGTGATTTGTGTTTTTCTGAGATTTTATGTAACTTTTCAGCTTGCCTAAGGTAGTCAAAAGACGAGTGAATGCTCTCAAGAACCTTCAAGTTAAATGTGCACAGATAGAGGCCAAGTTCTATGAGGAAGTTCATGATCTCGAGAGGAAGTATGCTGTTCTCTATCAGCCTTTATTTGATAAGGTAATGATTTCTACTACATTCTAAGCTAACTCAGGAAATAAACTTGATAGATATTTCAATGGAGTGGGTATGAGAGGTACATGTGAAAGCAGCAATAGCAATTATTAAAAGTGGTAGCATTTACTAACTAAATCAGAAACCAGTAGTTTGAAGTTTTGCACGGTGATGTTTTTACATGAGCCCCCCCCCCTTTTTTGTTTTGTTTTAGCGATTTGAGATCATTAATGCAATCTATGAACCTACAGAAGAAGAATGTGAATGGAAAGCAGATGAGGAAGAGGAAGTTTCGGTTAGTACCTTGTAGTTTGCAGTATTTTGGATGATAAGGACCGTAAGCAGTCTGTAGAAGTAGCATTCATAAGCAACTTAGTACCTGCTGGGGATCAGCAGTGTTCTAACAAGATGAGCTAGCCTTCAGCCTTGGCAGCGCCTCCTTTTGTATTTCAAGCATCTCATGTAGTTTCCTTTGACCTTTTGATGACTGGTGAAAGAGCATACAATTTTCAGGTGCAGGCCTTCCCTGCGTGCCCTGGCTGCAGTGAGGAATGAGAGCTGTGCGGGAAGGCCGGCACTGTGCATCGATCCTTTGCAGGGTATAATCAGTTTGTTATTCTGATTAAGGACCTCAGAGGCTGAACATGGGACAAGTTTCTGTTTGCTGAAGTTAAAAGTCTTGTTATTAACCCTCTTCTGCTTTTTAAACTGTTCCTAAAGTTCTTGATGCGGGTGGTGCTTCTTTCTAAGGTGATGTGAGAGAGAGCATTGATTGCTATGAGGTTGAAGTTTTCCAGTGAGTGACAGCAGAATTCGCACAATTAAACCAAAATGCTGTGATTGAAGGCTTATGAGAAGACCTCGACAAGAGGTCATTCCAGCGTTTCCTGTCTTTTTTTCAAGGAGGAGCTGAAAGAAAAGGCCAAGATAGAAGATGAGAAGAAGGATGAAGAAAAAGAAGACCCTAAAGGGATTCCTGAATTTTGGTTGACAGTGTTTAAGAATGTGGATTTGCTCAGTGATATGGTTCAGGTAATTTAATTCAGAAAAACACCCATTAACCTAGAAAGAAGGTTTTGATATTTAAATATCTGTGGTTTCCGCATGGCTTACTTAATGGTTTTATATAAAGAAAATTCAGTGTGTTGGTTAATCAAAATATTTTAAATTCATTGATGAAGTGGCATCTTTGATCATTATTAGTTGGTGCTTTCTCATTTTTTGTAATATAACTAACCTTCTTGTTTCTTGGTACTTAGGTAGGGTTAGTGAGGAAATATTAATGTTTAATTTGCATTGCACTAAAAAAAAAATCTTTCCAGTTTGAAACTTGTTAGTCCAGGAGGAATTTGCATCTTAAAATATATATATTTTTTAAACTCAACAAAAACCAACACAGATGTTCACTTTGGGAAACTGCCTCTCTTGTTCTTGAGCCATTGGCACTATGGAGTACTGTGGCCTAGTTTGTGACTGAGTGTGAGTACATTTCTGCTTTGCCAAAGTAGAGAAGGAACAAACAGCTTGAAACCATAGCGGATAATAACATAGCCTATTTTAGAATTTTGTATTTTTCAGACTGGTCAGGCAGTGTGCTGAAGAACCACAGTATGAGGTAGCTTCAGTGTAAAACTTGTGGTGATGAAGTTTTAGGGTTCATAGTTACTGTATAAAACTTCTGTAACAGATACTCTACCTAGTTTCTGTGTGGTTACAGAACATCGACCCTAAAATGCCAAATTAAACGTTAATTGTTACTTTAATTTGAAGGAACATGATGAACCTATTCTGAAGCACTTGAAAGATATTAAAGTGAAGTTCTCGGATGCTGGCCAGCCTATGGTAAAAGACGTTTTAAATGTTTACTACATTGTTACAGATAAGTTTTAAAACATGACATTCAAGAGTTGGGATTGAGGCTGACACTAGATATTCTTAACAAAGTGCATGTTTGATTTTGGTGCTTGTAATTCTGTACTTCATCCTATTCCTGTAGGATTTAGGCTTTTGTAAAAGTAAAGATAGTGATCTTAAAGTAGATAAAATATAACAGGGAAACTATTAAAGGTGTCTTCCTGGGAATGACTTCAGGCAGATGGTGCTTGAGGGCCTGCATGAGGGGAGAGAGGCCAGCTAATAACCCCTTCTATGTCAGCTATGGGCAATGCTACTATGTTAATAAAGGCTCATGGTCTGAAAGTCAAGTCTTTTAAGGTTGTCAAGGAGGGTGCAGCTTCATATCTAAGCGCCGTCTTTGTGGGAGATGGAGAGAAGGGACACTTGGTCATTCATTTAGATTTAACTGACCTAAGTGATAATTAAGGTTGAAACTATATTGTGCCTTTATTTTCACCTGTAACAGAACGAAGGGTTTCCCCTACACCCCTGTTAGCATTGTTATTTCTGAGTGAGGGAAAGAGCGTTAGACTTCGGTCTATGCTTATCAGAAACCACAGGTCAGACTGTTGACTGATGCATTGACATTATGGTTTAAGAACTTAACTCATTTTTGTTTTCTCTTAAAGAGTTTTATCTTAGAATTTCACTTTGAACCCAATGAATATTTCACAAATGAAGTGTTAACAAAGACTTACAGGATGAGGTCAGAACCAGATGATTCTGATCCCTTTTCTTTTGACGGACCAGAAATTATGGGTTGTACAGGGTGAGTTAATTGTACTAAAGTGTTTTGTGTTTAATTGTAGGAAGAGCTTTCTGTGTTATCCCTGTGTCCCGTTGGGTCTGTCCGGGGCTGGATGTTTGGGTCTCCCTTCTCCCTGGACTGACTATAATGGACATTTATGGGAAGGGACACACTATCTATTCACTTTCTTTATGGCATCTTAGTGCTATTATAAATCAAGATTTTAAAGTTTTGTTTAGAAAGTATCCTCTAAAGTTTTAACTTGACATGTAAACACATGCTAAAATATCATTAAAATATCAAAAAACAACCCAAAAAATCATCAAAAAACCCCACAAAATATCCTGTTTTGTTTCCTAAGGTGCCAGATAGATTGGAAAAAAGGAAAGAATGTTACTTTGAAAACTATTAAGAAGAAGCAGAAACACAAGGGACGTGGGACAGTTCGTACTGTGACTAAAACAGTTTCCAATGATTCTTTCTTTAATTTTTTTGCTCCTCCTGAAGGTACGTAGTGAGAAGTGTCTCATTTTAGGTCAGATATTGATGTGTGTTGTATTGTAAGCTGTGCTTAAGTTTTTTTTCTGATTTGGATTTCTTTTAATTTTGCAGTTCCCGAAAATGGAGATCTGGTAAGTTGAGTAACTAAAAGACAGACTCACTGACACTTGTTTTTCTTCAACTCAGATCCACCTACTTTTCCTTCCCGAGGCACTGAGATTAAACTGGTGTCCTACCATGCCTGTTAAAGACATGTAGTATTGCTTCTGTGTGTTAGTGTTTGCCAGCATGTGTGCCTGCTCCATTTGTGTGACTGATTCCCGCACAAGTGGAAGAGGACGTGAATCCTCTTGAACAGAGTTAACGTACAGTTGGTCCTCTGGTTTTATAGATGCTGGGAATGGAATCCTGGCTCTTCACTGAGCCTTATTAACCTGCGGAACCATCTTGCTAGCCATATTTTTGTTATTTCCAAAGGAATGTAGCAAAATTTCTTATGGGTTGCTTTGCAAACACAAAGGCCTATATAATAACAGTCCTAACTTATATTTAAATGACTTAGTTGATAAGTGGCAGGTGGGCAGGGTTGAAGCTTTGTCACACACTAACTGACGATTCGTTCTGATAGGATGATGACGCTGAGGCGATACTGGCTGCGGACTTTGAAATTGGTCACTTTTTACGTGAGCGTATAATCCCCAGATCAGTGTTGTACTTCACTGGAGAAGCCATTGAGGACGATGACGATGATGTGAGTACATTCCATAAGTCCTGTGCGCTCGTTTGTTGGGGGTGCCATAGTCAGAATTGGTAAGAGGCTAGATTTACTGTTTAGTAAAGCAGGACATAAGGATTCATAATGAAGCTAATCCTTTGGATAGCTTTTCTCAGTTTTGAAGAAGTCTCTTTACAATGTTTGGATTCATTTATGGTAGATTTTTGTTTTTCTTTTACAAAAAATTATTCTGAATTGATAAAAGAAAACGTGGTTACCTTTATTTTACGTTTGTTTTATTTTGATGTCACTGTCATGAAACAACTAGAACCCTTGAATGTTCATGGCAGTGTTTATGTAGGTAATATAGTCTGCAAGGAAGTCATAGGGAGGAAGTCATAAGGAAATGCTGTAACCTATAGCTATCGCAGTGTGGTAACTCACGGCATCGATAGCGGTATGCTCGCTTTGCTTTATACTCATTGCAGTGTTCCAGCTTATGGGTGTTACTAAGCTGTGCTTACTGACTTGTTATTCACTCACACTTTCACTTGTCTTTTTTCAGTATGATGAAGAAGGTGAAGAAGCGGATGAGGTAATGTTTACCAAATGAGCAAATAATTCACTGTATAACACATTGAAGAGCAAAATTGATTAATGTATTCCTTTGCTTATAATCATTCTGTGATTTGGGATAAATTTTGGAAACTTGATTTTAGAATTCTACAGCCAAACAATGTATGTATAAGGTTTCAATAAATAAATTGCAAAACTCAGCAACATTTTTTTTTTTTTATTTCAAATAATTTTGTTCTGCTGCAGGGTTATCAGCTCTTTGAAGAAGTCAAAAGCTGCAGTAAACTTTTTCAACGTTGGCTGCAGTAAATCTTTTCAATAAAAGCTGTCTGGATGTCTCAAGTTGTGTTGGGAAATTTTTCATATTAGAAGCTTTCAAATTAAATTGTATTATCAACAAACTCTGTAATCATGAAAATCTGTTGACCCATAGAGTATCTTGTATAAAATTTCCATACATTATGAGCCAGTTTTTTCTAGTATGTACCTACTTCATGGATGCATTTTGAACTTTAATATAGGAAGGGGAAGAAGAAGGCGATGAGGAAAACGATCCAGACTATGACCCAAAGGTGAGCAAACCTGGGCTGGCCTTACACTAAAGTAGGAACAGATAGGATCCTCTCTTTACTTGCTCAGTATTTGAGATTTGGCCTTTTTAAAGAATTAAACCTATTGCTTAGATTGTTTTCCATGCAAAGGAAAGCTATAATTAGTCAAAGAATATCTGGACACGGGAATGCTTTGAACTTTGGATTCTCCAACATCTATTAAAATTATTTGGTTCCTAAAGGTCCCAGTTTATAATTCATGGAATTTTAGTATCAGTAAAACATTTTCCCCTTCAAAGTGTGTAACGACAATTCCCAGGATTCCTTGGAAACCTAGGATTCCCTTTATTCTGTTCATCTACCATGTGCTGTAATACACTGGGATCTCAACGCTTCTATCACGCATGTAGAAGGGAAGTGACGAGTAAGGTATTTTGATAGATATGAATTAGTATTAATAACAGTGGTTTTTTGGGGTTACTGATTATCTCAGGAAATAATGCTGCATTAATGTATACTTTAGTGACTCTGAACAAGATGAGATATTGTGATAATTACTGTTTGAAAAGTCCATCAAAATTGGTAGAAGATAGATTGACGTGTTGTTTTCCTTTAACAGAAGGATCAAAACCCAGCCGAGTGCAAGCAGCAGTGAGCAGTGACTGGCCTTGAGGACGGCCTCCCTGTAATAGCCTAAACATGACCCATTTACTTACAGCCTTATGGTTTTGTATTTTCTTGGTAGAATCAGTAAGTTTTTAAGGGAAAGGAAATTGATGTTTTAAAAACCAATTTGTTCTACCTAGCATCCTAACTCTAGCTCTGTCAGATACGTTAATGCATACATCCTCTCTAATGCATGTTCATCTACTGCTGCAGTTTGGCTCCTCTGGAATATCTTCATCATGTAGCTACTGGAAACCAACTGCTGATCATACAGGAGTAGCTGTGTCTTTCCTAAAGAACCAAAGTTGTTTTTAGCTGGCAGAACAGGTTGAGGTCCACCTGCATTAGCTGTGCTTTCCGTTCTGTTGTTAGAGGGATGCACACAGCACAGCATCATTTGAGGAAGGAAAATTGTGGTTAAGAATTTCCAGTAAGATCAAACTTAGTAACTGAGATTATTAAGGCATTTTTCTATTTTTGATGACATAACAAAAGTCAACTCATGCTTATAGCGAGGTGAGCAAACCCTAGGTTCTTTTGGGGAGTTAATTGATAGTATTTAATGTACTTTGAGAATTAACCTCCGTTAATTAAATCTTTTCTTTGTGGTAGGCCAACCTTCTGCTTTCCTGGAAAAGATGACTATACATCATTTGAACCTATTTTGAGTTTTTCTGTTGTTTGCCTATTTTTGTTTTTATAGTCTAAAAAATAAAAATGTGACAGTTTTAGCTCTCTTGGGATGCTGTCTCAGTTTGTGCTGATTGAGGCTATTGCAGAGGGTTAGTTGGAATTCAGGGGTGCCTAGTTTTCTACATTGAACAACATAGGAGGAGGTGATACACATGTACTTTAAAAAAAGTGATGTGCTGTAGTTTTGAACAGAAAGGTGAATTGCGCTTGTTAGAACTGAATACCTTTGGACTCTGTTTATTCTGTTCGTCCTCAGTACGGAGGATGACGGGTGAGCCATGCTGGTTACTGTCCATAACTAAGGATGGGTAGTAGTGTTGATTGAACTACCTCAGCTCCGTTAAGGCATATTGGGGTAAATCTCACACACAAACTCTCAGTCGTACAAAATGCTCAAAAAAATTGGGCCTCTATACCATGAGTGTGACGTTCAGCATTCTATTCACACCAAGCTTTGATGATTAAACTGGAGAATGAAGTTTCAACACTTCCCTTCTAGATCTGAGCCTGTGGCTCCCATTTTAGTGGGAATGAATGAAAGTGGTGTGTGATTTCAAGAGACTGAAGGGTTTTGGGTTTCTTGAGGTTAGCTTTTTATACCCCCCTTCAGATATTTCAAGTGACTGCATTGTAATAACTCTTGAGATGGTGATGAGGCAGGGGAGGATGGCATTTAAGTTTCAGACCACTGAGAGCCACATTTAAAATACCTCAGGCTAATTACTGTTCACTTTGGGGGAAGAAATGTTTTGACAGGGTATATTAATTGGATTGTACTTGGGAAAGTTCCTGCTGTTAATAAAATTTACATTGAGGAAAAAAATTTTTGGAGATGATAGTTCTTTTGTGAGATTTTAGTATTAAGCTCTTAGAATGTGAGGTCATTCTATAGCTGACATCTTCCTGAGATTTTTAACTACTGGAAATCCTTAACCAATTATATTTTCTTTATTTTGAAAATGATTTGGTTGCTTTTTCTTAGATGGTTTCTGCTATTTTCTGTAATCATAGTTTGTCTAAACACAGCCTATTTTCTTGAACATTAAAGTTTATAACCTAAAGATAGGATCTGTTTTTCAGTGATCTTTCAGACTAGCACAGGCTTCCCTTCCTGCTTGTAGGAAGGAGCTGTTGCCAAAGTGAAGAGGGAGCTGGCTCTTGTTGTGTATGGGAGAGCGCTGTGTGGAGCTTCAGGGGTCAGTGTTTATTCCGACATCTGTCAGTCCCCAAATGGTCTTCTCCTCTAGAAGTCTGAAATATGTAATCTGAAATCCTTAATAAAATTGGATCTAATTTTATAAAATACAGTGGTGATATTTGAAGTTTTTACAACTATAGATACATAACTTTGAAGATGGGAGAGCTGCTAATTCTGTGCTGTTAAAATAAAATTAATATGAAGAGAGTCTTAGCATGTTAAGTCTGCAATATGATGAGAAGAAAGGGATCCTGTGGTCTGCAAACATTTCATCATCTACAAACTACAGTTCTGAGTTTATACTTTCATTGTTTAAACTATGATTTATGTGTTACCAAGTTTACTTGGTCCTGTAAGAAACCATGGGAACCATGTACAGTTTTATCCTGATTTTAAAGAATTGTGTGCATCAGTGTGATGGTGTCAGATCCTTTAGAACTGGAGTTACAGACAGTTGTGAGCTTCTATGTGGGTGCTGAAAATTGAACCTGGGTCTTTTGGAAAAACAGTGCTTTTAACCATTGAGCCATCTGTACATGTTTTTTTGTTTTGTTTTGTTTTGTTTTTCAAGACAGGGTTTCTCTGTGTAGCCCTGGCTGTCCTGGAACTCCCTCTGTAGACCAGGCTGTCCTTGAACTCAATAATCCGCCTGCCTCTGCCTCCCAAGTGCTGGGATTAAAGGCGTGCGCCACCACCGCCCGGCTCCATCTGTACATATATGTACACACATACAGGGTTTTTTTTTTTTTGTTGTTGTTTTTTTTTGAGACAGGGTTTCTCTGTGTAGCCCTGGCTGTCCTGGAACTCACTCTGTAGACCAGGCTGGCCTCAAACTCAGAAATCCGCCTGCCTCTGCCTCCCAAGTGCTGAGATTAAAGACCACTGCCTGGCTCACATACAGTTTTTTATAAACACAAACTCTTGAAGTAATTTTGCAGGCCCATGGTCTAATTTGGTAGGTGACTAGAGTGTTCTTAGGGTTCTTTTAATGCATCTCATCAAAGCATATTAGCAGCAACTGCTCTGTAAAAGGATGTCTCCGTTGTTTGGATATGGTGAGTTGGCAAAGGAAAAATGGTATTTACCTTGTTTTTGAGCTCATTGACAATCACATAGGAAAGCAGACATTAGCTTTGATCTTTGTTCTGTGGTGACAGTGGTTGGTGTGTATGATAGAAGTCTTGGTAATGGAAAAGTTTTTTATGTAAATTAACTACAGACAGTTCATAGGTCCATGTGAGTTACAGGCTATTCCCATTACATATAGGTGCTTTTGAAAACTACCTTGCTATGCAGAAGTATGAAATCTAACCTTATACTTGATTTCAGGGCTTGGTTTAAGTCTTGGTTCCACTAGTGTGATTTAGGTTTAATTTTTAGCTTTAAATTAGAACAAATGTTGATTTAGATGTACAGGATATATAATTTAGAAGAAGCATAATTTATAGGGAGTTTGGAAAACAAACGGGTGTGTCAGTCACTTTAACAAATCTGCATTGTGTGTTTCCTTGGTAACTATAAAAAGTTAAAAAGTCTTAGGTAATTTAAACTGTAATGTCTCTAAGTAAACTTACCTGGCAGTGGCAAAAATAGTACTGATACTGAGATATGGTTATTTGTGTCTGTTGGTTTATAAACTCAGACATTAGACTAACCTGGATTAAAAACAAGTCCTTGGACTAATTACGGTCTATCACATGATTTTAGAGAAATGGAAACATTGGAGTAGAATTATTTTCATTTAAAGATTTTTTTCCCCAGATTTTCACATACTGTATATGCTGTACTGTACATGCTGTTACTATAGTTCAGGTTTTTCATCTTTCAAGAAGTTGACAGATGTTTTGATATCAAAGGAGAAATTGGGCCCAGTGAAATTATTGTCAGCAAGTGAGTTACTGACTTTAAAATTCATATAAAGCTCATGTTTAAGTTGTTTAAAGGTGATACTTTGAAACTACATTTTTAATTTAAAACTGGAAAGGAATTGGGAACAATGATCAAAAAACGGAAGTGACAAACCCAACATTTATTCTGTGGCTTGGTAGAATAATTTCTGTCACGAAAAAACTTGGGGTAGGGATAAGGAGAACCGGGCACAGCCTGGCTGTGGTGGATTGCACGGCACAGCCTCAGCGTGCAAGGATGTTAGGTTGTAATCCAGCCTGTCCTGCACTTGATACATTAAAAGTGTTCAAGTGAAATTTAAACTTGTTTCTAGTGAGACGATCTCAGGCTTGATGGGTAGTACTCTGGCTTTGTGAATGGTAGACTGACTACGTTAAAGAGGCTTAAAGTTTTTCAGGCTCATTACAGATCTCATTTCTTAAAAATGCTGGGTATCATTTAAAGAGACAGTACAGCGAGTGCTTGTTTCTTAGCGTGGGGAATGAATGCTGTTTAGAAATGTAGCCTGGGTAGAGGGGTGGCTCAGTAAAAAGTGCTTGCTGCTCTTGGCAGAGGACCTGGTTTTCTTTCCGGCATCTATACAGTGTCTTTAGGGAGATGGCAGACACCCCTCATAAACATGCAGTGAATCTTTAAAACAGCAAAAAAGCAGCCTGCGTGGTAGGATTTTTTTGGTCGGGGCGGGGGATTTTAAGGTGTAGGATCGTATGTACATTACAAGTACAGAGTGCTGGGTCTGCCCAGCTCGTAATTAATTACATTACATGCTTACATTACAGAGTGTTGGATTCCCCATGCCCCGCAATAGCGTTTGATGACATCTAGGAAGTTCCCGTTATAAGAATGAGAAAATATGCAAACCTGAATAATCCATACCATCATGCTTTTAATGGCCAGGTGTAAGAATACGTCAGAAGTGGATAACATTAAACTTGGGCTTTAGAGCCCACCTCCCATCTGTTAGGAAGAGGCAATACTTAATACATGAGCATTAATAAAATAGATCTAGAACCTCATGTAGCCATAGTAGGTTTGTTGTAGGCAACCAGGAAAGCTTGCCATCCACAGGCAGCTAGGAAGACACTCTCCTGCAATGGGTGGATCCCGCGCGTAGGAGGAGACATCCAAAACTCCACAGTGATACACAAGTGTATCTCCAACAAGGCCATACCTCCTAACAGTACCACTCCCTTTGGGCAAAACATATGTATTATTTTTTTCCTTGAGACAGGGTTTCTCTGTGTAGCCCTGGCTGTCCTGGAACTCACTCTGTAGACCAGGCTGGCCTGCCCTGCTAGTTTTTTTTTTTTTTAAATCAACACACATATACCTCGGTTGTTTCACTTTGTGAGCATACTTTGGAAGAACTTAGGTGATTTTAAAGTTTTTACTCAGTATTTCAAGGTCTTGCTCGGTAACAGGTGCGTAAGTACACATAAATGCCATTGGACTGGGTAATGCACTAAGGCCATGCTCCTACTGAAAGCTTTTCGTATTTCCTACCTTCAGTTCTAAGGAGCTCAGTTTAGACGGTTTGTGTGATCTCCTTTGCTTTTGGTAGTATCCTGAGAAGACAGTAGGAAAATGAAGTCAATTCCACTGTCCTATCTTTGTACTGACACTGGTGACTCCTGCCCTTTGATGCTACCTTTGAGTTGCCTATTCTCTGTGTTATCAGTCCTGTGTGATTTTGGACTTAGCATTTGATGTTTCCAGTATTATGGGGAGGTTGGTTGTTTAGATGGACACACACACTCCGAAGAATCTAGTATGAATTAGGAAAATAGAATTTACACTGCCAGTAATAACTGCTGCCATTTAGATTGAGGAAAGCTTCAAGTGTTTAGTGAAGTGCAATTTGTTATTTAGAAAGGTTCCCATTGTGTAGGTCTGACTGGCCTGGGACTCACTGTGTAGACCAGGTTGATCACTCACAGGAGTCTCCACCTCCAGGAGTGCTGCAGATAGAGGCATGCATGTGTGCCATGCCTGGTTCTGGCCAAAATTTGATAGGAAAGAAACTTAGGAAGGAATTAGCTCCAGCCTAAGGTGAAATTTAAACTGCTGTGGGTGACAAAAGGTTGCAGGCAGTGGAGATAACATTGCAGGCATTTGAATGCTGTGCGTCCCAGCATTCAAGTCAGCTACCTGCAACTCCAGTTTGAGGATATCTGACGGTGACGGTGACGTCTTCTGGTGTGCAGATTCTCACCTGCCCACCCCCTCTGGAAGATTGCCTACAAGGAGTGAAATCGAAAGGCTAGTTTGCAGGAGATGGGGGTAGGAATTGGAGTCTCATGGAGGTTAGGTGTGGGAGAAGGTCATTAAAAATCTCTAGTATCTGGGGTTGGTCGGTGTTGGCTGGAGGTGCTAGCGACCTAGTGGAGCAATTGCTGAGTGTCTACAAGGTCCTAGGTTCCATGGCCAGCATAAGGAAAATGGGGAAAGGAAAGGTGGTATGTGCACTGCTTGTCCCATAAACAGAATGCTGGCTGGGTGGGCGATGCCAGAGAGCAAACCTCGGCCAGTGCTGTAAGGTGATCTTAGGTCTGTAGCCTCGCAGTCAGTACCTGAGTTGACATCCCTTACTCTCGAGGCATTCAGGTGTGCTACACAAGTTGATCACTAGGGGGCAGCAGCTCTTCAGCTTGTACTGCAAAAAGCTATAGACCTGAGAAGTCTTTACTTTCAAAAGCTAGCAATTAAGTTTTGAGGTCCCCCACCCCCGAAAACTAGGAAAAAGTTGAGAAATCTTGAGTTTTATCAATGTGGTTGGGACTATTTGTTTGAAACACTGAGAAAATCCCTGATAATTTCAGGTATAGATTTTTAACTTTTCTGTGCATACAGTGGGGTGGCAAGTATGCCATAGCATGCAAGGCCAGCAGCTTTACCTCTGAGCCATTTTATCAGTCCTTGTTACTTACTCTTGCAGGCATTGGGATGCTGGTATAGGAATACCTCACATAATTGCTAAAAACAACCCCCCCCCCCAAATCCCCGTGGGATTCAGTGTATTTGGATTTAGGGAATATGAGACAGATTTAATGTGTGTAGTTCATGTTAAAAACACACCAAGTGCATGCAGGGTTTGATAGCTAGGTATTGATAGAGGAAAGACTGGTGAGAGGCACGTGTGCTTAACACATTGGCAATCTTTAGGCCCCACCCTAAAATCTTGGTGACACAGGAAACTG